AGTTTTTGTTTTGGAATAACATCGACATTGGCGAGTAGCAAAACGAAAATATAATTCAGTGGTAAAGTCATGAATGTAATAAAAGAAACCCTTTGAAAGAGATGTTTGTCTACTCCAACTAACCTCCCGCAAAAAATGGCAACATTTGCCTCTCGGAGACAGCGTACCAGCACAAACGAACGAGGAAGAAGTACAAGAAAACAAATCAAGCCGCCATAATTCAGTGACAGCGGCAGTGTCTAATGTATAAACCACATCGCAAGCCCTGACCGAAGTCGGAAACAAGCGACACTTCTAAGCAGAGTCCCAGTCCACTGCATCACACCTTTTTGCTCGGACGCGCTCGTTTCACCGCCCAACCTTTATCCGCCCTGAGACGGAGAAATGGAAACCGCGCCAAGAAGTTGAACGTTAGATACGGTCTTAAAGAACCCAGACACTGCCAAAACTCAAAACCGGGTCCCAAAACTCAAAGAAGAGAAAACCTAGTTCGTCAACACTAAAGGTGAAGGGGTGGAACAAAATCACTCATAAACTTGGAGTATAGTGAAACAACTAGACTGCTGATACTTGCTGAGAGCTGGGTAAGGAGGTCTTTCAGGGAATACCAAAAGACTGCGTGGGAAAACACGAATAGGATGCCAGCCCTTGAGTGGCAACAAGCAAATAAACTGGAGATAAAGGTCCAAGGTAAAGAAGGAAAACCTAAGGCGCAGAGACGACGCGAGAAAAACCCACCCAAAGGATGGCAGCCTGAGCGTCAGCAATCCGACTAGGCCTTTCAGGCTACCATGGAAGCGCAGGAAGAAAAACTTATGAAATGATGGCGCAGGAAAGGCGAGGAACGAACGTCACACATAAACTAAAAAATAGAAAAACAACTAGGAAAACAAGGGAGCAAATACACTGGGACAACCCGCAGAACTGGAGGCCGCGTGGTGAAACACGCGAACCAAATTACAGAAAAATGCAAAGGAAAACATAATCATTCAAAATCTACAGGGGCTGAGGAAATAACACCACAGTTTTGTAAAATAAACACGCCGAACAGATTGTCCAAATAAAGCACAAATGCAACAAAAGTGATAAACCATCTTTAAGGGAATCGAAGAAAGATTAAATTAGTGAGGGAAAGAACGCAGAACACAAAATTAAAACTGAATATAATACAAAGCAAAAAATTAAGCGTGCAAATTCGAGGGGAGCCGGGGAAAAATCACTACACAAACCGGAGCTAGTTGGGCAAAGCACGCATAAAAAAGCAAAACTGAATAAAACAAAGAAAAACAAAAGGTGTAAACTTGAGTGGAGCTGAAGGAAAAAGCACTGCACAAGCCCGATGTTGGTGAGGCAAAAAGCACGAAACACAAATTACTAACAACAATTTAAAGCGTGCAACAAACTACGGGAGCCGAAGGGAGAGTATTGCACCAACACGATGTTTGTGAGGCAAAACACGTAAAGCAAAAAAATTACTGAATGAAGCAAATAAACACAACCATGCATGCAACAAACTTTACGGGAGCCGAGGGAATAGCAATGCAGAAATCCGATGTTTGTGAGGCAAAACACACAAAACAAAGTTCAGACTAAAGGGTAACAAAAGCGTGTAACTGACTTTACGGGAGCCAAAGGAAAAGCACTCACAAACCCGATGTTTGTGAGGCAAAGCACCTAAAACAATAATTACTGAATAAAGCAAAATACAACACAAGCGTGAAACAAAATTTATGGGAGCCGAGGGAATAGCACTGCACAAACCCGGTGTTTGTGAGGCAAAACACGCGAAACATAAATTACTAACAACGAAAGCGTGCAGTAAACTAGGGGAGCCGAAGGGAAAGCACTAAAACTTTACGGGGGGGGGGGGGGGCAGGCGAAAAAAGGGGGGGGGGGGGGGGGGGCAGGCGAAGAATACTGCACAAACAGTAGATAGCGAGGCAAAGTACGAATAACACCGCTACTGTGAGATAAAACAAAAGCAAAACATTAACGTGTAAAAACCTAAGAGCTAAGGGAAGGGCAGTAAACAAACTAGGAGTATAGCGCCAGCGAAACACGGGCGAGAGAAAGTCGGTCATCCGCACTGTACTGGCGATTGGGCTGTTTGAAGCAGAGCTGGAGCAGCTTGGAGCTTGCGTAACACTGGCCGGGGTGGGACCGGTTCGTCAGCCATCGTAATAAAACGAGAATCGGTTAACAGAGCGAATGGATTCTTACGCGAACTGGGCAGAAATGAGATGCGGAGCTCTTATTTATACTCGCGTTGCAGGGTCGTTGCAAGGGACTGGCGCGAATAGGGCTACAGCCTAATGCGCCAACACTCCCCCTTTTGTCTTTTTTTAGATTTTTTGAAAACGGTTCTGGGTTTAAATAAACACAAAGGCAACGGTTTCAATAAGCACCCACGGCCGACGAAATGTATCGGCTACTTTGCTCACGGAGGTCGGCTACGCTACTTTTTTCCAGAAAGAAGAAGCAACTAATTTGAAGAACGTTGTAAACAAAAAATAAATAATAAAATCTGAAAAAAACGTAATTATGACGTGTTTTTTACATAAAGGCCCACTGGTAAACGAGTGGAATTTTAAACATTTTCTGGGCCAGATCGTGCCCAGACCCCCTTACCCGTTTCTCCCCTCCCTCCCCCGCTAAACAAACGGGACAAGCGGCCCCTTGTTGATACAGTCGGTTACTCTATTCGAACCTGCTGGCTACTTCAATTTTTATTGAAACCCCTTTGAAAGGGGGAGCTTATTGAGAACGTTATGTGGGTACGTTTTCTGCGTTAGTCCATGAAAAGAGCCTCCATTTTCTTTTTTTCAATATACTGACCATTGCTACTTTCCCCGTTAAGTTGAAAACGAGGTCCGACACTTGATTGGCAACTTCGCAATCAAGTTTCCCTGTCTGATTCGTACTAATTTGGGAAATTGCGTAATATTTGGGAATTAGTTTGATAAAAGCCACCACGCTATAACAGGACCCTTCTATGGCGTTGAAGAAGTTTTGTATGAAGCATTTTGTAACCGCAATACTGTAGAGGCGTGTTCTAAAACAGAAGTTTGATCACGTGATGCTGACTTACAAGGCGGAAATAAATGAATGTTGTCAAGAGTGAAACCTTCTACCCTGTATATTCCCTGTATATCGAGCATACGTGTGCGGAAAAAAAATTAAACGAATCGATTCAACACAAAGTCGATCAAGTAATATTAACTCGCTGAGAGAAAAAAAGTTTTTTTAGTCTTTTTAATTACAAAACTTACAATGCCATAGGCGGTGATACACTGTCCAGACTATCGTACCTGTGGGGCGGGGCTTCTATTCGACAGGGACGTTTATTAGATAGGGGTGTCTAATACAAACTTAACATCGCCGAGGGGGAGTTTATTAGACAAGAGGGGTTTATTTGATAAGGGCGTCGATTAGAACATTTACGGTATCAGTTGACGGTATCTGTTATTTGCCACCGAAAATGCAGAATTGATGAATGTTAACTTCAAGAGTCAAACCACCATGAACCTCAGTTACTTTTCAAACTTAAAGACTTCCATTTCGGCTAGAGTAAAATTCTGGTTTCCAGTTAGGAAGGTGTTAGCATTCTGTCCAGGAGGCAGTTCATATGTTTTATTCAAGTTAACTGAGCAATTATTAGAATTAGGCGCGTTAGGAATGTGAAGATCGAATCCACTTCCAAATCTAGGCCCGCTTCCACTGTGGCAATGAACAGCAGAACTCTCCTTTCCGGGAATAAGAGACATCTTTGAAGGCTGTAGACCACTGGGATTCACCAAGCTAAAAAGGAAGGAGTTTGGATCTGTTCTGTAGGCACCATTAGGAATAGCTGGGAAGAAAAAACGTGTGCATTGATAAAGTGACCTTGGCTAGCAAGCCTATAAAATCTACCGTCGATCCTCCACAAACGGCCACCTCTCTACAACAGAATTTTTTTTTTGGGCGGACAGTCTATACATTCACTCTTGTTTCAACAATGGCCAATTCTTCTGTCCCCAAGGTGGCCGCCTTAGAGAGTTTCAACTGTATATTGATGTGCTGGTATGGTTTTTAAGCCATAATTTTTTTTATAATCAAGGGAAGTGAGCTTACTGTTTCGACCATTTTGGTCTGGCATTTGGTCTGGCATTTGGTCTGAGAAAGTCAACAAAATTATTCTCCTCTTTATTTTAAGGCAAAAACAGGGAAAGATAGGTTACAAAAAATACCATTGGGTATATTAATGTGGGATTTCTCCTTCAGAAAAACCACAGACAGACAGATCCACATTTTCTTATAAGAACATGGTGTAGAAGCCGGTGCCATTGAAGAATTGAAGAGGCTTAGACCCCAGATTCAGAAACAGTTCTTCTTCTAAGATTATATCTCAACAAATAAATGGCTCATAACAATGGGGAATTTGTTAACAAACAAATATTATACCAATGTTGTGTTCAATTTTATCCTTGGTTTAAATTTTAATTTCCTTTGCTTTTGGATATGGTAATATATGATAATGTATGATAATGAGTTTGAAACAAAGGAAAATAAAATTGAGACCAAGGATGAAATTAACCCACCACACCTACGAAAAAGGTATAAAAAAAAATTAACTTAGGATGCCTTGAGTTCGTAAAGTGGAGGCAGGTCCTATATGGGTGTAGGAAATGTTGTATTTTTGTCTGGATAAGAGTGAAGGTTTAAAGAAACAGGCAGCATATGCTACATCAACATCCAAAGTGCAACTGTCTACCCCTCACCCTCCCCCCCCCCTTGACATTTAAACCACATGAGTTACCAGTATCTATATAATATACATTGTAACACTGGTCAAATTACTACAGTCCAACCCCTCCTAACAGACACTTCAGTCTATAATTTGGACACTTCCCCAGCATGGATATAGTTCTGGCCCCAGTTGTTCAAATGTTGGGTAGAGCTATCCAGAGGATAAATCACTACCCAGCGGAGAAGTATTGGGAAACCACTTTCCACTGGATAGAGATTTATCCACTAGATAGGTGCTATCACGGCACCTTTTGAATAACTGAGGCCTGCATGATATGGTCCCAAAATTATCAAACTTCACACAGTTCCTAACCTCTCTTATACAGACACTTGATTTTGTTCCCTTAGTATCTGTAATAAAGAGGTTTGACAGTCTGTAACACAGAAATCCTAACAGCAAAGGAAACGGTCAGATAAAAAATGACTTGATTCTTAAAAATATTTTTGTCATATTTACTTTAACAATTGTACGGAAGACAGTTTGGAGCAAAGCAAAATCCCCCATAATCAAGATTCCAAAGTGAGAGGGCCAAGTGTCCACATAATAAAAGAGTATTATGGTCACTATGGTAGGAATAGTAAGAAGCTTTCAATCTTGTAGACTAAGAGAACTCTGTGTAATAGATAATTATAGAGATTAAATTTTACTCGAGTTGACCCTTCACCTTGTGCACACCTTGCTATTGGAGAGATGCTAATAATATGAAAAAAAGCTTAATCCCCAGCAAAAATCACTAAATTACTGATCCTTACTTTGTGGGCATAACAAGGTTTCATTATATCGATCATGAAGCTGGTCTGATTCATACATACTGAATAATAATTATTATTTTCTGTGTTGTTTCTGGCAGGATTTGATGTCAGATGTATGGTTTAGTACTGATTTTCTATGACCTCTGTTGAAACCTTAAGCTAAATAACCTTTCAAAGAAGATATTAATTAATTTCGTTTTCTCTGAAGTACCTGAAAAGCTGCATGTGTGTAGTTTGTCAATGTGATGATTTCCTGCTATGTTTTGACGTTAGACCAAGCTCTTTTAAAGTGACCTTAAGTGTAGTTTGCCGGCAGGATGTTGAATTCTCATGGTAAGTGAACTTCAGATTCAGATTGTAGCTTAAACCAAAGCAACACCAACTAAGGAGAATTGTACTGAGAGCCAGTCAATATCATTTCTTAGGCGCTGATACAGCCCATTTTGTTTTTCTTGAGAGAAGTCAGAGTCTTTGGACCGGAGCGCGATGTCCTACAGTTCCTCTGTTTCAATTAATTTTGTTTTAGCTTAATAGCCTATCTGACTGTACTGGTGGTGCATTTTTTGTTACAAGTGCCTAAAGCAAGACTGCAGTTTTGGAATTAAAGCATTTCCTCATCAGATGCCACTATGGTTGAGTCTTTACTTAGTGAAGAGGCCATTGGCCTGTCAACACTATTTCGAACTGGATGTTTTCCTCAGCCCGTTGAGCCAGTAATAAAAGGGTTGGTTTTTCAGAAACTTACATGCAATAGCCAATCCAAAAAAATACCTGCCATATTTGCAAAAGTAGGTGATGTCACCAGACAACTCTATAATGCTCACAATTAAGACACCTCTTTCCCCTGTGCCCCCACGGGTTCAGGGGGTGGAGACGTGGGACATTTCAGACTAGACAACATTGGGATGGTAGGACACTTGCTAAATGCATACACCGAGCAATTGAATTATCTTACTGACTGCCCTGCTATATCAAACCAATCAGTCACAAATTTTAACCCCGTTGCTTTTGTTTTAAAGAGCTATGAGTTCCCCTATGCTACTTACAGTCCCAGTGTTGTTCTGTGTAGCCTCCAAAGATATAATTCCCACTTTTGACAACCACCACAGTTGGTCCCTTGCGATCGCAGAAAGAGTGAAAGTTGGAGGCTGCCCAGCCATTACGAGAGGCGCGATATATCAGGGAGTAGGTGTGGCCAGCACTTGTCAGCGTGTGTTTCAACCAATTGGTCAAGGTTTGGCGGTGCTCTGTGGACAAAATAAAGGAATCTTCAAAGGGGCTGGCTTTGAGCTCATCAATGATTCCTTGGACTTGGTAAAACTCAGCTTCAGTTAACAACTCTTTACGAATGATCTTGTCTTCTGGAACAACTAGCTGCCCTGTTCGAAGGTAGTTCAGGATATATCGGAAGTGAGTTCCATCACGGTCAATGAAGTAGGAACCGTCTTCAGCGGGCTTTGAATCAAATCTACCGGAAAACATCGCATGTAGCATTGACCCAGGATCTTTCTTCATTGTCTCTAGACTCGTTGTAAACAGTTGGCCGCCAATGTTCAGCTTTAACGTCTTAGAAAAATGGACGTGCTCGAGTTTCTTTGCTACATCATCAAAAGCTTCTTTTTCCTTACGAACCCGAGAAGTCTCCCTGTTCAAAATGTCAAAAATTTTCTTGACGAGGCTGTTGACTTCGGCAAGCTCTCCTTCGTCTGTAAAGTCGACAGAATCATCTGAATCTCGCGCGGCCATCTTGCATTTTTTGCTAGGCTTGGAACGCTAGGAATCATGGGCCAAATAGACTAAAAGGAACAGTATTAAAGCACCTCGGCCCCAGGGCTATTGCCTTGAAACGGTGCTGTGTAGGGTAATGCTTTAGGGAAGAAGCTACCCTTGGTATAGTTCATCCCAGTTTTTTTTTTGTCACGTAGTCTGCTACAAAGTAAGCCGAGTGGCTCTGAGGAGGAGATAACCTGCGTAGCAAGCGTTTCCGTGCTGTTTCGGAGCAAAGAACGAGGAGCGAGAGTCAAAGACCGCGCGAAAAATCATGGGCGCGAGTAGGCGGGGAAGGGAAAGCATAGGGGCCGGAAACGACCTCGGACGTCTGAGAATCAGACGTCACCGCAGAGAAGTTTGGGGTGTGGGTGTACCGTCGAGGCCTTTTAAACCCTGATCCTGTTTAAGACAAAATCCATTCATTTGTGATCCAAATGTAACGCTTTGATTTAAGAACGAGTTTATTCCTTTAATTTGGATTCAATGACTTTAAAAATTTAACACACCACACAAGTAGACTGACGCGTACCACCTTGGTTCATACCCGTTCAAAGCATTCGGTTCAAAAAGACACCCTATTCAACAGGCTAAATAGTGAAATTCAACACCCTGGGCAGTATCATGATAAGGACCTTGAAAGCCATACCCTGTTTGGTAGCACATACCCGTCTATTCCCATTAGGGGAGTGCTCCTCCACCATCCCTAAGCTCTTGGAGCTTATGGCTTGACCTCTTGACATTGCTTTGATCCTTCCGTAAGGAAAGACATGAGCTAGTTGCCTGCGTGCAGACGTCTCCTATTTCCTTTGTTGCACGCGGAAAAGGGACGACGGTAATGATCTAGTGGTATGGGCCATGAAAGGGAGTCCCGTCCCTCTTCCCAGAGAAATACACAAGCAGTAAATTGAACCTCATGATTTACGTACCCCTTCATGGAAAGTCATGTTATCGGCATATAGCGTCTGGCCTTCTATGAAATAAACGTAGACACTTCTCACAGAGCAAAAGGGGAAGTTAAATTTCTTAGACTGAAGACACTATTTAAACGGTTTTCCGGGATTGGGATAACCTGAATTAGCCGATAGAAACCATAGAGATCACAGGATTGAGAAAAAATACCTACCGAATGACGGAGTAGCAATGCGCACAGTTACTATTTACAGAACTGAAACTCAGACAAACAATTCCTAAGTTTTGTTTGTCTGTCTTCTGTCTTTAAAATGTTATGTTTGTCTGACTTTTCTTATTAAAAGGCCGAAAAAGACAAAGTCAGACCAACGGTGCAAATTAGTCACTCTGACGTTAATTGCGAGGATCTTGTTCTAGGGTTACCGCTAGCTAAAGCATCATGTCGTCGGTACCCTTTTACATACCTGGGTGAGGATAAACACAAAGTGGAGCAAGGCTTGAGCCCTTATTGCAGATTCGAGTTGGAGCTATTTTAAAAACGTTAGGCCTCCACGCCTTTACTGGGATTCTTAAGTTGAATATTGACGTGAAATGGTACGAGAAGATGTTGTTTCCCACTCAGGAGGAAAGTTTTACATGTAATATCAATATTATGTAATCGGGCCGGTTGCAGAACAACCATTCAAAATTAAAGTTATTTCTGGAACAAACATGTTAATAAGAAAGCGCATTTTAAAAGAATGAAAAAACTGTTCGCTTTTTAAGGCAGTATTCTATGACCAGTTTTTCCAAAATCAGGGACACCTTCATGACGACGAACTTCAAACAGAATGGCATGAAGCAAAATGCAATAAGGCCGTGAATGTTATATATCATTTGAGAGCTTGCGAAGATTAACCGAACATGCATTTCCGAAGAAGGCTCACATCGAGGATGCCCGTAATTTTACGAAGAAAATCGGTAGGTTCATCACCAGTCTATATGGCGATGAAGTGACTACTGCGGGAGCAAGCATTTGAAATGTGTTGCGTCTCTTGGTAACGGGTACAGTTTAAACTGTAGAATGCATACTCATGGCATTTCCATTATTCTCCTGATTTTTAACTTCTTCTAGTCTGTCGCGGTACTTGTTGAACAAAGCTTGTACTTCGCCCAGCATTTCCTTCTCTAACTGATCCAGTGCAGTGTCTCCCTTCACTTCTGACAAGGGTATGGCGCCGGAATGATTTCTTCCTTAAAGGAAAAATAATTCATTTTTGTCAGCGCCTAATCTCAAAAACTGGTTTATCCTAGACCCGGGTAGCCTGCGGAAACAGCCGTTTCTCCTCGCTCTTCGTCGCTGGGGACGTTTTGCGCTGAGGAACGTCTGCGACTCGGGGGACACTTGAGGGCAGTTTGGGTGTAGCTGAGCCGCCAAGACCTTCAAACTCTGACCGTGTTTAAGACAAGAGACCGGAGCGGTTTTGAATTATGTGACTTGATATAAATGGTATTGCGTTGCGGTACATCATGATTGGCTAATAACATTCGCCCCAATTTTTTCAGCCAGTTACTGAGAAGTTACGTGAAACTTGCTTTGTGCGGGTTTCCCGCGCATACATCTGTTACATGTAATTGCGTTGAGTCCAGTCTCCCTCGCGGGGAACACTAGGGAGCTTTAGCAACGACAACGGCGACGGCAACGAGGACGTCAAAAAAGCAATAGGTTTTTATTAGCAAAACAATCACGCTTTTTTGTACATTTCTTTACCGTCCTTGCATGACTACGACGTGAAAATGCCTAATTGCAAGTTTTATGGCGGACGTAAACAAGCGACGACGAATCTCTTTTTCTCTCTCTAAACTTGAGTGAGGTCCTCAAGAAATCAACTCCAGGGAAATTCGCCCACACTTGCCATTTTCAGCAAATTGGAATAAACGCGACAAAGATTGAAAAAACGGGAATTCATTTTAAAACTGACGTTTACGCTGCCGTTGCCGTCGTCGATGCTAAAGCTCCCTACTGTGTGACTCTGGCCAGAGCGGCACCTGCAAAGGAGACTATGTAGCGTTGTGCCTAGTTCTTTATATGGCTGATTAAAAATTTTTGTGGTCAGTGCATTGTAATCGATTCGATTCTGCTTGTTTTATTTTCAAGAGAACGTATTTTAATATTTAGACAATTATTAATAGCAGATTAGGTAGGTACATAGTTATTTATATTTGATTGATAGCCTTGCCTTTCTTTGAAAGTGTGCATCGGCCAGTTCTGAAGCAAAACAGCTCGGTTACCACACCCACCAGGAAAATGATAACCACAAGAGCGATGCAGGTGTATAAAGAAGGATAAAACAGATCACCAGTGGGATCGAAAATACTCTGAGAATTCTGCACGGCTTCATCATCTCCTCCTCCCTAAACAATAAAGATAAAAACTCGTCTATCATACGGTGTTCACACCGTTTAATATGTACTGTTGAATGAGCGTGAGGGATTGTTTAAGAACTAAAAAATTCGAACAGTAAGTTTTATGAAAATTCCCCATTTTTTGAATCTTCCAACTTAAACCTACCACTGAACCTAATGGGACACAATCGACTCTGTCCTATTAGAAGCTAAAAGTATGTTAAATATTTTTTACATAGCACTGTTTGTGAATAGTCAAAAGAATGATTTCTATACAAAGTCATTAGTTCTGTGAATACAAGAAACTTCAATTAAAAAACAACCGATACTACTGTTCGTAATCTGGATATGGCGAAAAAAACGGCCTCCTCTTCCAGAGTAATCAGATGTAGCAGTTAGTGCTAAGCTAAAAAAAGGGGGAGGGGGAAAATCCTCATCACTGTCAAACAAAACATATGATCTAATTCGACAATTTCAATTGTGTTGAGTTAAAAATTGATTTATCAATTGAAATGTTAAATGGTCAATGCTTTGTTCATGAATGAAGTGCGCTAATGTTTTCTACGGGAACTAAGAAATGAACCAAGAGGAACAAAACATGACAAGAAGAAATCACAGCTGGCGCGGATGGGCCAGTTGTTTATTTACAACGCAAAGTAAGCACTGAAGCACAAAGCAGGGTCTGTGATCAGTAGGTGAGACCGTGCTGGCTATGCCATGCTGATGAGCCCCAAGAAGGGCGAAACAGCTGTCCATGGTTGCCACTGCCCGGGTGATATGGCTGTGCGCATGCGTACGGTATTGGTCATACCACGGAGTTGGTACGTGTGCTTGAGAGTTTACTTTGCGTTTTTGTTTATTTACAAGCATGGTTGGGGGTTTTAACTCGGGATCACCGGGAAACAAATAATCCAGATGTCAGTTTGATGGTAGGTAAGGGCTAGACTCGAACCCAGGACGTCTGGATTACGAGCCCGATACGCTGACCGCTCGATCATGCACCCTCCAAAAAAGAATATACCTACAACATTGATCTGGAATAAAACCAAAATGAGATATGACAGCGGACCAAAAAAACCCCTTAATTTGGTTATAGTTACCTTAAGTGTTTTTGTAAGTTCGTTTCTTGTAAAGTCGTAAAGCAGGTATTTGTCTTCAGCGATTAAACGTCTGAAACACTTTCTCAAATATGTATCGTTCACAACCGCGCCATATGACAGCGACTCAACTTTAATGATTTCATCTGTTTTGAATTTACTGTCTGGGAATAGTGTCTCTGTGTAGTGACTTATTTGATAATTGTCCAAGAGTACGCCTGTAATACAAAAATAGCATAAGTTGACAAGTAGACAAAACAGGCCTTTTCCAACATTTCGAAATTAGGGCAAGTGCAAAACCTTTAATATGGAAATGTTTTTTGGGACGTTTTCATCAAGTATTTCGTCATCGCTACCTGCCTCGAGTTACTAACTCGTTAGCTATTTGAAGGTAGCAACAAACAACTAAGTTAAAATTAAGGGTAAGATGATATAGTAAATAGCCTCCTCGTATGCTGGGTCGGCAATAAACTGGAACCGGTTTTCCATTCACGGCAACTGCGGAATAATCGTTTGGGTAATTTTAAGGCTACGTATTATTCTTAGCATCAACTCCCAAAAGCCATAGTTTCAACCTCTCTGCTATAGCTATCCTAAGATTGGTATTTCCCATGTCGAGGCTGCTGATGAGACTGGCGTAGATTATGGCGTATTATTTGCAGAACTTGGTCACGTGCTTGGATACCACTTAGCAACAACTCCTTAAATGGCAAGCCATCCAAGCGTTCATTCAGAACATAGGCTCTGAGTGCGTTTGGGCGAAGCTTTCCTAGGTTAATTCAAAAGTCTTTAAAGTCTTCTAGTCCAGTTATTCAGGTTAATTTAAAGTAGCAATGCACTCGAAGCTTTGTGATCGGAATGAACGCGTGGATGGCTTGTCATGAGGCGAGCCGTTGATAAGTGATATTTTAGCTCTTGACCAAGTTCTGGTCTGTTCTGGGGGACGAATTCTGACCCAAATTCCTGTACAGCCTCCTATGAGCCAATAAAAAAAGGCGAAAAAGTCCTCAAACAGTCCAATGGTGAAGTATGATCCTCAACACTGACCCAGTCCCACGGTTAACTTAAAAATGTCTAACGCTGTTTATTACGTCAGTAGCATCACCATTTGTAATGATGGCCGCTGCAATCCGCTTTCAAAGAACTAAGTAAAAGGGAGGATAAATAGCTCAAAGCAGCTAACTGGAGCTGAGTAAGAATACCTTCAATAACTCCATTATCCAAGGCAACACTCATTTCCTCAACAGAGTTGTAGACTACAATAACAAAAATAATATCATTTTGGTCTACATTGTGACAGGGATAAATTAAAGCAATCTAACATACATGGGTCAACTTGACAGAATCAAATCTAAGGCGTTATTTAGCATACAAGTCTTGAGCGAATGTTGACTCACGTGACCGTTTAGACATGCTAATGTCCATGCAGGGTTAAGCAGAATCGTAAAACTCGACAGATTTTCGCGTGCGCCCACTCCTGAACCCAATTAATACATTAAACCAACTAGAAGATAGTGCACACAAAGGCTTTGAGCAAAAAACAAAAAAAGCAAAGCGAACGCATAGAAAACTCGGGGGAATAAAGGTTAGTTATATTCCCTCTGACGTCACAGATTATACTTTGCCGCATTCTGATAGGCTAACCCAACAGCGATCTTCCCTTATTAATAACAGCGGCTGGTTATCGAGCCTATAGAGGATGAGCAAAGGTTGCGGTCTGATTTTTTCTCTTTACGTCACACACAAGATAACAAGTTTTCGAAGTCAGCACAGCAGGCACATATGTTATAATGAGATTGTAAACTTAATCCTTGGGTTCAAAGCTCCATAAACCTCAAATAGAACAAAACGTTGCTTACGTCTAATATCAGCTTGTTGCTGCATAGCTAATGCCATTTCTATCGAACGCTTTATAACTCCAACCTAAACAGAATAAGAAGCACGTATAAATAAACATTTCATGTTAATTCAATCCAGAAAAACTCCCTTAATACAGACATTGAGGGGGTCATAGAAAGTGTCAGTATAAACAGGGTGTCTGAATTGAGCAGGTCGTGCTCTTTGAGTGAAAAATACACTTCCAGTGTAATGTAGCGCTGGGAACAACGACATGCTGTCTACTACAGGTTTTTATTCCTTCGAAGAGGAAAGGCTTATAGCTGCTTATTACAAACACAGTTGACAGTGAATTGTCCTCATAAATAAGCGAGGTTGACTTTCTATGAGAATCTGTTGATTGCGCGAAGAACAAGTGTCCGTTGTCCGCATTAACGGGTGTCCGTGTACGCGGGTTTAATTTTTATTAGCGAAAGGCTTACCCCAGGGACAAAGAGAATTATAATAGAAAATTTCCTTGACCAGTAAAAGAAATTTTAAAAAAAATAGAGTAATTAAAAACAAAACAAATTAAATGTTAAATTATAAAAGAGCGAACGTATGTGAATCAAACAGACAAAAATGGGAAATCCTCACCTTGGAACCTGGTAGACTCTTCTTGGTGTCGAGGCTGATAGTTGTAAGTGACGTAGTCAAAGTAGCGGTGAATATTGAGCAAATGCAGATTCCAATTAGAATCCAGCACACCGCAAAAGTTCTTCCCAACAAAGAAATTGGCGCTCGATCACCGTACCTATATTTTCACACAAGGAAAAAGCAGCAGCAAGAATGAAACTTGAAATGGAAGGCAACACCGATGGTCATGCGTAATCGCTAAGGCGGACTAAGCCGGAAAATAGGGGGACATCTAGGTTCCCTTTCTAGCGAAGTTGTCTCTTTTTTTTTGTTTGTTCTGCCGCATTTTTTCTGTCCTGCGTAAACTCACAATGAGAAATGAATTTTTAAATTACCGGTGTCAAACGAGAAAGTTTAAACGCAGATTTTACTACATGCCATCATCAAGAGTACATCTTATCCCTGTGAAAACAACGTGGAACTAATCCAAATATGAATATACATTAGAATCCCGATTTTTCGAACAACCTTGAGAAAAGCAAATTGATTCGAATAGTCCACGTTCTACATATTAAAATTTTAACATGACTGGAGGCTTTGTGGTCATTTTTCTGTATTTGGTTTGGTTTTCTTTGTGCTCAAGTCTCTGATGGGAATTACGAAACAATGGAGTCGTGAGAAATTTGCAATTTTGACCCTAAAACCTCGGAGTCGTGTTAGAATTTTAGTATATCGAATGTGGGCAATAGAGCTTTCCCGCATTACGCTTCAGTGAGCAAACATAAAGAAATGAGGACGAGGCTCGGGTGAACAATTTCATACAAATCACTGTATTTTGTCCAACCCAGCCTCGAGTTGGTGCCTTTGTTTACAGGAATGCGGGAAAGGTCTATTATCAGGAGGTTTGAAAAAATCGGGTATAAAAATTAAAGTGTTTAACTCGTAAAGGAAAGTTGGCTTTGTTGGAAATATTAAGAATTTCGAAAAAACCGATGGCTCGAGAAATTGGGATTCTAGTGTAACTCTACCGTAGTTATGGAGATGGATCACCCTTACTATAATACATTACCCGACGGTTGTCATGGAAACAAATGCCCACCAGAATCCTTCCCACGAGCCTCTGAAAAAGTTGCGAGGGAATTGTTCCTCGTTAAACCAAGTATCCTGAAACACAAACCCAAAAATTTAGTTACATAACACTGTTTTCTCAATTCCTACTGGCAATAGCATAGCCTCTGTACAATAAATCTTTGAAAAATAAGTGAATTTATAGTAGTCATGTGACGTCTTTTGGCGGCCATTTTACGTTTCCAAGAACAAAAGACCTTCTGTCGATTTGAAACGACATGTAACCAGTATTTTCTTTAGGGAAGGACCATTAGAAAACTTATGGGGAGGAGGGGGAGGGGCGAAGTACCAAAAAAATATTCGTGCAAGGGAAAATCAAATGAAAAAAATTCATGCACGCCAAGTAGTATCCCTAAGAATATTCATGGTCTGGCTTAAAAAAAATCATACCAGGGAAATGTTAAAGAAAAAAAATTCATGCGGTCAGGAGCTGATTACTTCTGATGCGGCTCAAAAATTCGCCACCCTCCCCATAACTTTTTCATTGTCATGAAGAAATTTGCGGTGTTGCGTAACTGTGGAAGTGACAGAAATCATTGCTTCATTATTGGTCTGCCTGTGTCACAGCCCAATTGAAAAATGGAGGCCCTCGTCTGTGCAGCAGAAAGACAAAATGGCGGACGGATCACGTTACGTTTCCCCCTACGACCTACAATATCTATAATCACATTCCACGGCATAGGCGTAGCTATACACTCAGGCTAGAAAAAAGTGTGTTTAAACTTACCAAAATATTTAAAAACCACTGCATTGTGCAGTCGGCAGCCCAAGCTGATTAGGTAGGTGGATTAGCCCCCTAAAACGCTTCGAAAGAGCGTATCTTAAGTTGTTTGATTACGCATCCCCTAAATAATTTGCCAGTGGTACGTTTAGCCGGATTTTTGAAAACGTACCTTGCGAAATTGCAGCCATTTAAGTAAAAAAGGCCAAAGGTAGGGTTTTTTGGCGTCTGATAAGCCCGAAAATTACATTAGTCAAGAACAAGGAAAGGAAAAATAGAAAGAGCGAGGTAACGCGGCGGTGACATTTTCAAAAATCCAGCTGATGCACATGGCCAATTCCACTTACCAGTACCCACAAAAGGACACCAGCCAAAATTGAAAGAAGAATAGTTAATATCAACACCGGCCATGCTTCGAACACAGACATTAGAAGTTTCTTTGGGAAGCTTTCCCTCTTGCCTCTAGGAACGACAAACCCAATACTGGAAGGAGGTATCAGACTAATCAGGTTATGATCCAGACTGACCGCTTCTTGCTTATCAACAATGACTGGGTAGATCACGTGAGAATCACGTGACAGGCGGAGTAGCTGCTCAGGGTTTTCAACCGGGGGATAATACGTCACTTCCCAGCAGCTTGGGGTGTGGTTCCCGCAGCACTTGGTTAACATAAGATTCAGCAGAGCTGTAACGAAATATCACGAAACGTTACGTAGCCAAATTTAAAGTCACGATAAATTTTTTGCGAACATAGTTGGAAAGCTGGGTGAAATGTATTAGGTGGGGCGGCGCCTCCAAGCTCAACAGTATTTCTGCGACGTTCATTGGAAATACCAATTTCTCGGCATTTTCAAACCTTACCTCTACAACCACGTGCTTTTCATGGTAAACGAAAATCTCGACCTATCCAAAGGCCGGGGGAGGGGGGTACTGCCGTATATGGGCTATATAGGTATGTGCCGCTGTGAAGGGTATGGTTTTCAGGCAGTTTACTCTAGTATAGGGTATATAAATCAGAGTGTTTGAGTCTAGAATAGGGTATCATTTTTCAGGAAACTGATCAGTTGGTTGAAGATTTTATCTAGACTAGGGAAACAGCTACTCTAGGATAGGGGGATTTCAACCTCGTCCCCAGGGCTTTTCCCTTAAAAAATGGGTGGGGCGGGAAAAGGAAAAGCCCTGGGGACGAGGTTGGGGGGATTTGGGGAGTTTACTCTAGTATAGGGTAGCAAAATTCAGCTGAACTAGCTCTGGTATAGGTTAAGGGTTCCAGGGTCCCAGCGGCACATCCTCACCCAGAAATTCCGAAAGTACCCCCCCCCCCCCCCCCCCCCCCCCCCCCCCCCCGGGCCCAAAGGCTTAATACAGGCAACGGATCGCAGCCCCCTGCGTCTAAGATTGACGCTTACAAATATTAAATAAACAATTATATAGTGATACTGTCAATGTACTATCCATATTTAAAAATGGCTATACTAAATGAAAATTAGGCATCGCAATATAAGCACTTCTGCGAACAGTTAACAACACACCCCGTCCCCTCCCACCTTAATTGTTACGACCTTGGGTAGGTCACACTTTGTTCGATGCAATCGTATGGAGGCAGCAAAGCATGGTCCCGCATTTATACAGATTATAAAGTGAGATGTTTGTAAAAAAATTTGAACCTTAGTACCTGGCAGTATTCCTGAAGTATAATTGCCGTTTTGAAAAGTAAAAGGCGGTCGAATCAACCACGAAACCTCTATGCAGACAGGACAGATTCTAGAAAGGTCACGCCGACACGTCTTGTTCTTCAGGTCAGCCGGACATTTCGCTTCAACATTGAAATACATCACGCTAACCAGGATTAAAACACAGCCATAGACAGGGTGAAATCTGCTAGATGTGTGCATCTTCACTATAATAGCACAATACGCCAGACTGACAGTGTATCTTCTACAGCTAATGACAGATCAAGGGCACAAAACTTGACTTCGAGGTAATCTCAAAGGGTTCGCCTTCCGTTCTAGAAGACGTAATTGCAAATTACTTGTCTGTTCTGTCCCATGAGACCGACAACTGCTGGCACCGGCATTCGAATCATGCGATCCAGAATGAAGACCAAAATAAAAAAATAGAAAAAAAAGAATGAAGACTAACTGAAGACAAATTATTTGGTGGCTACCGTGACTTGAATCGAATATCACTGAGATTATGATGAAAACCACAAAAATGCCCTATTAAAATGCCGATTGACAAAAACACAATGCGATTGTTCTACTGTGGCTTAATGCCCCGGGCTTCATGCATGTAATTAGCCTGCGTAACTGGCGGCATTGTGTGGGTGCGAGATTAAAGTTTTGGCCGCGGAGCCGTGTTCCAAAAAAAGGGAGTAGGTATTTCTCGCGGCTTCGCCGCTCGTGACGGCTCCGCCGTCAAATCTCACTCGACTACTACACAATACCGCCAGCTACGCAGGCTAGCATGTAATGGATGAGAGAGCACGTTGATACAAACACATACTGGTTAAATACTTATTAGTCTCGCTTGCGTAGCGTAAGCAGCGAGACTCGTAATCTGCAACGCGTTTTTGGCCCCCCCCCCAGGGGGTTGGGGGGGGTATGGTACTCACTTTTATAGGCTATACGAGGTATGGTCTGTGCACTCTAGTCTTGAATTGGGTATGTTTTTTAGAAGAAGCAACCGTCCTCATCATTTGGTGGTGAGACCATTTCCCTTTTAATGTTTACGCCAACTGTATACGTGCCGTAACAGCTTGTCACTTGCTCCCGTCACGCGTCGGGCTCCAGGGCTTTAAAAGTCGAAAAAAGGGTATCAAATTTTTGATCAGGTCTGAAATAGGGTAGGAAAAATCACAGATTTTGGTCTGAAATAGGGTAAGGGTTTCAGGAAGCGTGCCGCACACCCCCACCCAAATTTTCTGGAAGTACCTCCCCCCCAGGGTTTTTCGTCGATCAATGGGGGTCATTGTGCCAGGCGTTCCTTGAAGAGGACCGTGAAAACTGGGACCAAGAATCGTTGCGCGATCGAAGCCATACATGTTTTGCGTAGAAAGCTTAGGAAAGATTAAATTTAGAGCTTTTCCGAAACTTGTCGGTCCATGAATTCTATTGTTGGTTTTCACATGACGTCACTAAAATTCAAACTACAAAACTATCGATCCTACTGAGATTTTACTTTCGTGGTGTATTAGAGCAGCTGAAAACTAATTTTCAAACAAATTTTCGATTCAAAAGGGTTCTTGGTTTTGTAATAAAGTACGCTTGAATTTCTAAGCTTTTGCGTGACGCAGCATTTTTCATGACGGCCGAAAGAGCTGTCATTTAGGACAAAAAAAATTACTTTTTTCGAGGAATTTTGCTATCTAAACAGTTCAAGTGTTAGAAAAAGTATTACTTTAGTGTTTATGAGTTCCTCTAGGAGTAAATTCACGCTTTTGTAGCAAAACTCGGTAACAGATGTTTCTGCTGGTTTCCGTCCGCCATAATGGAGCTCATCCGGATGAGCTCCAGCATGGCGTCTCCATACAAAGCTCTATAAATTTGGGTAAAACATTTCCTCGGATATCTCGTATACGAGTTATTGCTTCGACCCAAATCTTGGTAAGGGTCTTTGTATATTTACCTCCTTTCATTTAACAGATCCTGGACTTTATCTGTCGAATGGTTTTGATTTTTATTTTGATCTATTTTGGATGGCGTGACACTGAAAACCAGCTATCGTTTTAAAGCGTTAATTACTTTGGAACAAGTAAACACTACTGAGTGGTCGAAAAAAAAAAAGACTCTTAATTAGCAAAACTGTGATCGGGTGTTGTAAACTTTCATTGTATGTAAATGAGTCTTGTGATGAGCATGCGATTTATTTTCGGCGATGATTGAAATGACGTGCCTAGCCTACGTAGCATGGCGGTTTTGGTTGGGCGTCATGAAGAAATAATAGGGAACTTAAGAACCACGACGACGACTTTGTCGACGACGACCGGAAGTGAGATACTGTGCACTGCGCAAGCGCGGTTAACAAATTTCGTCGTCGTGGTGTCGTCGATGACGCCAAACACAGTAGAGTCACGTAGTCCTGAAGTCCACAAGCTTCGGCAGGTATAACTCCCTGTTTTTAAGCGATTTTTCAAGGGCTTTGTATTTTTTTCACCTCGTAAATCGAGGTATCCTTTCTTTTTTCTGCTAACTAGCGATGTTGATTGAAAATTTGACTGATGAATTGTGTTTACTTCGAAGACAACACTGAGCTGTGCAGGCCGAGCGAGCGAACTCGTAAGTGACAAATTTATTTGTACCTATTTAGGTCAGGCAAATCATATGTCTTTAATATAGAGGAAATGAACTTTATATGGAAAACAGCTATCGCATCGGAATGTCTCTTTTTCCAAATCTAAACTCTGACAGACACTCGGACTCGGTCATGTCATTCAGGTTGAAAGTTGAATAACCTTCGTACGGAAAGCAGAGATTTTTCCATTCGAAAAGGTCAGACAACACTAAAAATTCTTCATCGTCAATGAAAGTAGACGTACGGCTTATAAAATAAGATCTTGCATCGTCTTAAAAGACGCCTTTGCGAAAAAACTTTGTTGCGAACGAACATCACAGTTGCAGTTGTACTACTTCTACATGTTTGTTTACATTCAGTGTCGTCGTCGTCGACCTACCGATCGACTGCATCTTAAGTTTCCTTTTTCCCGCCGAAACTGACGTTCTCGTTCCAGTCCTTTCTCAGTCAACAGACGCCGTCGTCGTGAACTTCGTCGTGGGTCTTAAGTTCCCTAATAAAAGCGGGCGAACTCAGAGAAACTGCGAGGAGATTGGTGCTCCTGACGAAACCGCCATGCTACACAGGCTATGACGCGCCATGTAAGTCACTTTTTGATCTCTGGCAATGATGTAATTTCTCTGGAATCGAGGCCCTTGAATTTTCGTGGATTTATACACGCGTATAGCCTGCGACCGCAGACGTATTTCCAGGTCGTCACTAACACGCGTACTAAATCAATTCAGAAACAAGTAAAATGTATCGACGTCGATAAAATAAGAAGTAAAAAACCTTTAGCGAGTAAATCCTGTTTAGTGAAGAATTAATCGCCTCCTCATTTATCGATCTAATCTCCAAACAAGCAAGACTGGATGCCGCTGAAAGCACGCTCTTGTTTAAGAACAAAGAACTGGTGTTTGCAAAAGACCTAAAACTAGGTAAACTACATGTGACCTTCAAATGAGCATTCTGATTTGCATTAATTGCATTGCCAAAAAATTTGACAGATTTAAAAAGTAAAGGACCGATATAAAACGGCATAATGAACTAAAATCGGACCAAAGACTCCGGACAACCAATAAGTAAAGTAAACAAGACAAACAGAAACCTTAAGCCTTAACCAAACGCTAACCCTTATCTGCATAATATTTAATGTTTTTTTTTTCTCTTTGTTTTATACACCTATTTCAATTAAGGTTGCTTGACTTCTTGCTTCCGTGGAGAATGACGCATGATCCATGTTTCATAGCCTGTAGTGCGTTTAGCCTTGCCTAGTCCTTAAGCCTCATTATTCCGCGCGACCAAAGCGTTTCGGGTCACGTGATCCAAGAGAAAATGTTTCCCGCCCGTTCGCCATGGATACGTCACCGAAATGAATTGACCGATAGGGACTGGGGAAACGCCGTATAGGGATTAGGCTTCGTTTAGCCTAGAAACCTAGACAATGACTTAAAAGTTAAATACTAAAGCCAAGTTTGTATTACTCGCGCACGTGGGAATTTAGATAGAGCTTGATCAAACAAATTCATGGCTTTTGTATAATAATAAAGAACTTTAAATTACGCGTGTCTCTTACTGAGGTGAAAAACTGTGAAGTGTATTAAAAGAAAACAGGACCTGCAGACAGAAGCATTTCTACCTGATTGGAAAAAAAGTGTGTTGTAAATCGAAAGCTAGTCAAAATCTCAGCTGTTTAGAAGCACTGTCACGATCGGATATAAAGTGGCATAGCGGAAACAAGATCTATCGACTAGCCTAGTCTCAGCTAACTTGAAAGGAGCAAGTGGTTCTAGAATCGTTCTGATTAAGGCTCTTTTTGAGAGTGGGGGAGGGGGCGGGGGGGTGGGTGTTTAGATTTCCGCTGCGCATACTTTGTCCTGGAGATTCTATAAAAAAAAAACCGCCCCTTGGGGAGAGAGCTTAATATTTAAAACTGACCATAGATCCACTGTTCGATTTATCATATAGAATCAGGTAAAAATGAGTTAAAACTTCTGGGTTTGTTTGAATGGACTATCACCAACAATAATGTCCAAAAACGTTGGGTCAACATTGCATCCGGTCTGTTTCAGTAAAAGGCCCCTTAGGCATCCGTGGTGATTAAAAGTGGTCCATACGATAATTCTCTGATTAGTAACTGATTGTTACTTAGTGAGATTTGCGGAAAGTCGACTTCTCATAAGTTCTTAAAAGTGCGAAGCGAAGCGAGCTTCACTGCATGAGGTCGCACAGCGACCGAGCGGGCGACATAACCAACCAGGAAAAACTGACCGTTAGAGCCGGTCTATTACTTAGTTGGTAACAGGTAAAAGAACGATTCGACCTTTACTTGGCACTTGAAAAGTGAAAGCTAGCAAACAAAACAAACAAAGAAACAAAAAACGACAAGTTTTTTCTTCATTCTTCTCAACGTTTTAGTTGAGACTATGTGAATCGAAGGACTAGGGCTAGCTGATTTAAACACTTGCGAACAAATCAGACGCCTTAATTTTCTTTTTTTTTTCTCACATGTTTCAGGCCAGTAACTATGAACTGGCTTTCACTTCACACAAGATGTTGTTTTATGCAGGTGCATGAGGTCTCGCGGTAAGGTGTCGTCGCTTTGAACCAAGCGATCTTTTAAATGAAGATGATTATTTTGAGCATACCACCCAGGAACACGCAATACTGTTTTGCTCTCGCTCAGTGGCTTAAACAAGCTGTCAGCCGAGAACGTTCTTCTATTACTTAAAAACTAAAATCTTGTTTGTCCCTTGACACTCAGTTTTAAATCAGCATTCTGTACCTAACGCTTTAAGCCATAGAAGAATGCTTTTACTTCAAGTTCGTTATCTCTCTAGATCGACCGTGTTTCAGATATAACTGCTGATTAAAGAAAGACTACCAGCGACTTCTTTGTGCAAAAAAAAAATAAAAGCTAAAAGTTTCCAAATACAGGAAACCGAGAGTCAAGTAAAAAAAATAGGGTAAACTGAGGAACCGATATTATATAAAGTCAGTGTACAAAGAGCCATTCAATGATTTAAGAATGCATCCCTTTTCGGGTTAAGAGGTTTCTGCATAGCCAAAACATCTTAATTTTTAAAGGTATTGTGTTAAGATAACAGAAACGAGAAAATTGTGATGTGAAAAGTTTGACTATGATTTGCAAAGAACACAGCTGTTAGGTGGAAATTTGCATGGTAATTGGATTCAAAATTAAGCAAGTACGACCAATTGTCTCTTTTTGTATACACATACTTAATTTAGGTGTCGATTTCCTAGTGACCATTAAGAAGTAGCCATTTTTAAACATTTTTAGGTATTACTTAAAAATTAATCAATGGCCTAAAGGTACTCTGGGCGAGTCAGAGAGAAATCCAGACCACTCAAGCTAAGACAAATAAATAAATTATGACTGAGACCTTCAGCTTCATATGATTGATTTCCTTTGCGGTCTCGAAAGCTATTTAGTCAATAAAGTTGTTCAAGCCAATCAACAAGCGCAATTTTGAAATCGAGATCTACACGATCCTCCTCACAAAGAAAATTTATAATTACTCACCATGAAGCACCCCCTCCATGCTGGAGTTCTCAAGCTGAAACACATAAGGCCTTCGTGGCTGCCAGTTGCAGACTTCTCGGGCACGACGATACTGGACAGTGTTTAGGAGACTGTGAATTGCATTTTCCTTCAAGCTGACTTGTTGCTTGCAGAAGGACGCAGAAAGTCATACTGAAAGTGACTACGTTTTGAATAAGAGTAGACCGCATTGCACCTTGTAGACCTTATATATTCACATCTGCATAGACATCGATTAAAAACTCTGCAAGCGCCTATATACCAGTAAATTAATAATGCATAAAGTTGTGAATTAGTTTGGTTTTATCCATTTCCTCCAATGATAAATTTTATGGTTTTATTTCTCATTTTTGAGGGATATTTAGCTAATCATTTTGAAATTTTAATTGAAAACAAAGTGCGTTGCATGTTTCGAGCGCAAATCACTTCACCAGAGCCTGCGTCACTCTTTCCAGCGGACGAACGAGCAACGGACGCTCTGGAATAATCCAAAACCCGGGAGCGTCCAAAACCGTACCGGGATATGCGGAACCACAAAAATTCTAGTTTCGATTTAATTGCGCCTGCGAGAAGTTGTTTACCCACTTGACCAAGAGACTTGCTCAAGTGAATTTTGTACTGATACTCGTTCCAAAGCAGTCTTTTTCTTAACGTTAATTTTGATCATGTTGATCAGATGTATTTAGTGAAGAAAGTTAAGTCAACTATCTTGTAAGCGACCACCTTTGGTGCACGACAAAGTGGTTGCTTACTGGAAAAATCAAGGAAATAAGCTTAAACTGAACTGATCAACGTAATTACACATAAAATTTATCATATGCTATACAAACCAAAACTGAGGCAAATAGACTACTGACCATAATAATGTTTCACATCGTAAAGGTGCTCAGGAACTGTTAAGACTCTTTACGATAACATTTTGCACATTGTGCTAGTAATAGTTGACTCTAAAGCTACCTCTGCTCTGTTTGTCGCCGGTCAATTGCATCCGTGGTCTTTGTGTAGTTTTTTGAAATATACCCGTGACTCGTATTACGACGACTTTTACACATACAGTCGACTCCCGGTAACTCGAACCCTCTATAACTCGAACCAATTTTCATTTACCTTCAGATCGTTTTCTATATAATTTGATCCTCGATAACTCGAACTCCCGATAACTCGAACTGTTTTCTATTTCCCTTGAAGGTTCGAGTTATGGGGATTCGACTGTACTACATCAACAAAAAATACAACAAACACAAGATTCAGCTTTGATCAAAACACTCCTAGAGTTTCGAAAATTTTTTTCACATTCGCGTTCTGGTCATTTTTTTTTAAACTTTCAAAAAGTTCTGTCGGGGGACAGACATCAGTACAGACTTAATTAACCGAATTTAATTTTGTTGTTGGTTCTCTCCTTGGCTCCGAGAGGATTTTCTCCGGGTACTCCGGCTTTCCCCTCTCTTCAAAAAACAACACTTCCAAATTCAAATACGACCAGCCATCAGGAAGACGAAGAACCAAGTTGTGGATGTGCTACCTCCAGCCAAATCATTATTTATTTACGTATTTATTTATTTACTTATTATTTTAATTGTTGGCGAATTTCTGCGAGCAGAGTTTACATTTCCGCAATGCGAGCTGTCGCGTGAAAATAACTACGACAGTGCACAATACTAACACTAGTACTGCAAAAATGTAGTCTCTACTCCCAGGTAGGTACAGTAATCTTCCATCGTTCTGTTCCCTGCTAGCAGAGGTCTCTCACGACGAGGCAAAAATGAGAGAAAGGAGGTCTCTCTCCTTTCTCTCATTTTTGCCTCGTCGTGAGAGACCTCTGCTGGCAGGGAAATCGTTCTGCTGATAAGCTGTAGGTTGATTCACTCGTTTGCTTGGGAAAACTTGCTTGTTTGTGGACTGAGAGTACGTTCACGGTCCCAAAGTAATTTGTGTAGGAAAAATTTGCATCTTTTCCAATCAAAGATTTAAAATGCGAAAGATTAACGCCTGTCTGGCAAATCCTCCAAGTACTTAAACACAGTTATATGCCCCTTATAACTTACCCCCGCGTTTTTGACGTCTATCGGTCCATAATTTCGTTGAAACATGAGATTTTCTCTATAGTGGTCAGTGAGTTTTTAAGAATAAAAATTTTAGTTTTGCTCTAGTACTTTCAAATCAGCTGCTCAACAGAATGTTACTGAACAAACACGGAACGCAATAAGAGTATCGCGGTATGACTGTACATTGAATACCACAAATTCAACCCAAGCGATCCTTTCGGGCATTTTCCTGTTTTACGTCATCCTCGCCATTTCTTACTTGCGGGCTTTTAGCATTGTTTAGGGCTAAAACGTCATCATTACCCAACGATTCCGTGCAGCCCCTGTTCAAGCAAACTGTTTTTTTTTTCTTTTTTTTTTCTGGTATACTGATTGCATATTTAAAATGTATTTCTTTTCTCTATATACGCCACAGCTAGATGCCTCCTCGAGATTTCGCCTTCTGGGCGAAATCCTTGCCCATATTTTTTGTAAGTCAACTGCTATAATCTGTCAGTACGCCTGGTCGTCGCTAAAAAACTGAAAACTTTTGTGACATTCGAGCAACGGTTTTCTTACAGTCTTACGTGATAATGCCGGGTGGTCGCTTACTGGAAACAAAAAAGAAAGGAGTAAGTCAAATTTCTGACCTTAAAAATGCATGGTCGCGGTCTTTTTAAAAAACGACCAGGAGTGCATTATCAGCCCTGAGCGGATTCGTAATCCCCAGTTGATACGGATTTTTCTGTGGCTGTGTCATGGGGAATAGCCAGGGAATCATTTCAATCAATAGCTGAAAAGCAAGGCTTTTATTATTTCAATTTTCTTGCACATCTAAACTTCACAGAGCTGCCTATTCTTGAAAGACAAACACTTCCAGCTCGTTGACAGTAAAATTCCCGTTCCCAACCAAAAATGTTGTACTTGATGCATGTGGTGGACATTCATAAGTGTTGTCCAGCTGGCTGTAGCTATCTGTATTTTCATTTGCGCTATTGCTGATTCTAAGATCCCCGTCCCCAAACCATGGCCCATAGGAACTATCGCAATAGATTCCATACTGGGTTTCAGTACCCTTGAGTGGTAGCTTGGTTGGCGTATCTCCTGATGGGTTCACAAGGCTGAACAGAAAGGACTCCATACAGTGCTTGTAACCAGAATCTAAAACAACAAAAAAAGATTTCAATTTAGTCTCAAGTGCCTTAAAAATCTATGCCCGGATTCCTTCCTCATCTCATTTCCCATCTGCTTATATTTTTTCTCACTTTCCTTAGTGACATAGTAGCAGAGCTAATCTGAGATAAATCAATCGCCTTGTATGCCATAAAAATGTGACCCAAGTGACTTTAACTCTTTACACCCTGATATCAAAATTCAAATTCTCATTGTTACCCATAGTCATTTCCTCTAAAGTGCAAAATTTTATTCATCTTTTGTAATCACTTTCTTAATTCTTGTTGTGACTACTATGTTTTTTTATAGGTATACTGTAACAAGGAGAAATTCAACACTGATCTCTCTTGGAGCCTTGACAGGGTTAAGCATCTGCCAATAATTTTTCCCACCACATTAGGACGTAAAGTCTAATTTTCACAAAATGCAAAATCACATTACTGTTCTGCCAAATGCCATTGAGGGGACCATGATAGAACGGTCTGCCTGTCAATTTTCAAATGATGGGGATCAATTAGGAAAGGCTGGTCATTTTTCCTAGGTGGAGGTGAGGCATCAATTGATGATGGAGTGTTGGTAACTCCACCTAGGTGATTACTTATGGAGGTGAGGTATTAATGTTCTATGTGACCCTTACGAAGTCAATTGTTTTAAAAATTTACTTTGAAAATGTTTTGCATAATATTCCTCTTAATGCCATGTTTTTAGCATGTAAGAAGGTTTTTTGTGTTGCAGACATTTGTATAGTTTACTAAGGAGATAATAATATTATTAAAGATAATAATGGTAATGATTAATCTATTCCCTTGTTGTCTTTCACTTTGACCTTTAACAATATTGTTACTCTGTTTATTTGATTATGCACCCAACTCTAAATAAGCACCCACCTCGAAAAAGCACTCATTCTGTAGGTGGGAAAAGTCAATAAGCACCCAGCTACTTCTTGTTTAAAAAGGTGCTTAATTGATAAAATACAGTAACTCATTGAATCAATACACCTGCAGTGTACGAATTCTGAAAACTCTAGCATAACAAAACAGCTGACAGCAGTGGTGGATCCAGACCTTCAGGTAAAAAGGGGGGGGGGGGGGGGGGGGGGCAGGGGTCTCCAAAAAATCTTTTTGGCCTCAATTTGGTCTCAGAATAATTGGAGGGTGCCCAGGCCCCTCCCCTGGATCCACCACTACACAGTTTGTAACCCAAACACTGCTTTCCCCAAAAAATGATGCCTGAGGATCCAGCACAGAAATTCCAGTGAGAGTAACAATGTGTCACACTGCTGAAATAAGTTAGTGCTTCTTATTCACCATGCCACAAGGGAATGTTTTAAAGCACTGCAGAAGAGCTACTAGATCTGGGAAGTGACAGCACATTAGCATTACAGAATTTCTGCAGTCATTTGTCACATGTCATTTCACGGGGGATATGTGGTGGTTTATCAAAACGTGATCTGTTTTAGGCTATGTTAATTCAAATAGTTTGTACTTACAAAGCCCAAACCAAATTTCTAAGTAAGTTCAGGAGAGTTAGTGAACTATGGTTATAACTGCCAAGATGGAATAAAAGACTGGGTAAAAAGCTGCTGGGCTTAATTTGCAGGTACAGCTGGTGTAGGTGCCACTGCCGGAAGGTGTTGTGATTGAGGCTAAGGTTCGAGAACACCTGCACATACACAACTTACCTTTGTCCCACGACTCCTCAGTGTAACCTCCAAAAATGTAGTCCCCACTCCTTACCACAGTGACGGTAGGTCCCCGATGGTCACAGATGGCATGAAATTTAGATGCTACCCACCCGTCCCTAGATGCACGATAAAGCAGCACAAAACTGGAATGGCGACGGTCTAGTCGATGTTTCAGCCAACTGTTAACAAAGATTTGCTTCTGATCATCTGACAGGATTTTAGATCCCAGGAACGGCGGTGGGCAAAGTTCATCCACAATTCCACGAATCTGATAGAACTCAGCTTCTTCGAGAATCTCCTTGCGGATTAACTTGTCATCTGGGACATGAAGATACCCTGTTCGAAGGTAGTTCAGAATATACCGGAAGTGAGTTCCATCACGATCAATGAAGTAAGATCCGTCTTCAGCGGGCTTTGTATCAAATCTACCGGAAAACATGGCGTGTAGCATTGATCCTGTATCTTTTGTCAGTGTTTGAAGACTCGTGGTGAAATACTGACCACCTACGTTCAGCTTGATGGTGGAACCGAAGTGCACATGATCAAGCTTTTTCGCAACGGAGTCAAAAGCTTCTTTTTCCTTGCGAACGTCAAGAGCTTGCTGGTTAATGAGCTCGTGTGCCTTCTTCATGAAGTCGAAAGCCTCATCCAGCACTTCACAACTAGTTGTTTCGATCTTTTCTTCTTTAACAGACATCTTGCACTTTAGACACTGCGACTAGATCGGACCATAAGACAGTATAGGTTGTAACATGCAGTACCTATTGTTAAATGACAGAGCCACTGATTAATAGAAGCGCGGGCTCGATCACCTTCCGGGCCCTTTCGGGAAATTTTATGAATTTCCCACACCTACTAGAGAATTTACATCTATCGACAAGAGCAGCAATGGCGAAAGGTAAAAATTTCCTTTTTTAAAAACTGCTGGCAAGCTTTAGCAAGCTAGAACACTTTGACAGGGTGCGACGGTGTTACGTCACATTTTAATTAGCAGTAAAAAATTCTCGAATTTTTGAATGTCAGATTCGGGGCATGTTCAATATCGCTTTCAATATAGTTTCATTTTGTGACATCACAATCAATGATTCCAGGACTCATCAGACCATAACTGGATTAATATCTCACAGACAATTTGCCCCGAAATGCTAGCAAGTAGGCCTCTTGGACGTTGTTCTTTCAGAATATGTTGACAAATCACAAAATTTCACAAATTTAATTTTTATGACGTCATCACTTTAGATTCACTAGGCAAAACCACAACGACAAATCAGTGAGGGTCAGCTGGATCTCTAGTAGACCTGGATCAGTAAAGTCAGTAAAATCTTGAGTACTAAATTTTAAAATTGAAACGGTGAACTGATCCTTACCGTTGGAAGAGTGATGGAAAAATATGGAAAGAAAACAAAAATAATCTAACTTACCACTTTATTTTTGTCTTCTTTTATATTTTTTCATCACTCTTCCTGCCGTAAGGATCACTTAGATCTCTATTGTGTTGTAACAAGAGAGGATAAAGGGGACAGAGAAGGCATCCCCCATACATACCCTAGTCCATAGGTAATTCGTCTCGAGTTATTTTTAGAATCGGGATAAAGTTACCTCGCGCGCTGCGTGGATGTTTCGTGGAGGTTTCGCATGACTAAACGTGCAAAACATGTCGGGCGAAAGGCAATGAAGTGTAAAGAGATCGAGAGCATTTCTGAATATTGAAGCGAAATGAGTCGGCGCTCACCTGGGAAAAGGGAATCGCTCGACTCTTTGACAACCCGTGAAATCAGTTTAACTCGAAGTTCTCATAACCTCAGTGCTTAAACAAAATGAGAAATTTCGCCGGTCTGTTCAAACCGGTCGTTTGTACAATAAAGCAAGTAGCAAGTAATATTCATGTACATGTAATTAGTTTTACAAATTTGAATTTTATTGTAGTTTTTTTACGTTGTTAAGCGCTGTTGATCAGTGAATGTAAATGGCGCCCTAGAAGTTATTAAATTATTATTATTATTATTATTATTATTATTATTATTATTATTATTATTATTATTATTATTATTATTATTATTATAGGACACCAAGTGTTATCTTTGTTGAATAATAAATGACTAATGAAAGAATAAAACCAGAAATTGCTCTCTTCAAACTGTAAATTATAAATGATCCTGAGAGAATATTCAGTGTGTTAAGGATTTCCCTGCTGTACTGTTAGCAAGAGAGGAAGGGGGATTCTTTTTTAATTTCCGTTTCGCTGACACAGCTTTAGCAGAAATCTCTCTTTAAGACAAAACGAATAGCAATATCGCTCTCCGCGTCTTCCGCCATTTTTTTCTGCCTCAATTCGTGAAGGACGCGTGGCTCAGAGCGTGGGTCATCCACGCGGAACACATGATTGGCTGTTGTCTAATCCCCTTTGGGATCTGTGGTCTTAAAGGCCGATACACACGAGGGGTTTTGCTCCCGGAACATACTCCAGGCTCATTTTGCACGTGTCAGTACACACGAGGAGCGTTTTCAAGTTCGCTCAATTTGACCCGGGAGCTTGCTCCCAAATATTTAACCGGTTAAATATCGTGGAGCATTTTGCGGGGTGGAAATTCTGCTCCCGAGGATGAAGTATACACATGAAATCGTTAGTACACACGGAGGAGCTTTGCTCCCGGAGCGTGCCCCTGGAGCATGCTCGTGTGTATCGGCCTTAAAAATAACTCGAGACGAATTACCTATGGAATAGGGTGTGTACGGAGGATGCCTTCTCTGTCCCCTTTATCCTCTCTTGGTTGTAAATAATGCTAAGTGGAGAAAAATAAAATACAAATAATAGACAAAGTACAGTCTTGCGAGAGTAAGACTTTCACAGTTTTTAGTCTAAAGCCGTAAAGGTTTTTTTTCCTCATTAAGATAAGTGGCCAGAATGTTACTTTTCTTTGTAGGATTTACAAACGCAATCTTGAAAAAGAAGACCCATCTTCAGTCCTTTTCCGGTAACAAGGACGTCTCGTTTTTCTCCGTTCCCTAGCGGTGTCAACACGTTGTTATATGAATCAGTCATAAAACGTCTGTTTTCAATAAAATATCTGTTCAATTCGGAGAACCAAAAATCGGTTAGAGTTTTCTATGGTTTAAGGAAGGCTAAAAATTTCTACATGAACGTTCTTTAACAATTTTCGGAGCTTATCTAATAAACTCCCTACGATTTTCTAAAGTTTAGTTTTTCGCATTTCACTCCCAGGATAAGCTATTTTTCGTGCTAAAAGGAAACCTAAAACTTTCGCATTCGAAAATGCCAAAAGAGGAATCAGAAAAATTCTTTCTTTCCTAAAACTTTAAATAATTATTGCATCTAAAATTTTCGGGAAAATAATACTGTAGCCCTGATAGACTCGGCGAAAAGACTCAAGTTGCCTAATAGGATTACCGAACAGTCGATACAAATTTTATAGCGCCGCTTAGAATGCATTTCTAAAGATGTAAAAGTACTCTGGATAGCCTAAAAAGTGTTTTCAATGCAACCGTCGTTGGGTGCCCCAGTTGAATGCAAGTTTTAATTTTGGCCATCCCCGCTATTACATTCGCGATGGTCAGCAGTGCGGTTACACACACCACAGTAAAAGGTATTTCCCACGGTAAAAAAACTGCCGCTGTAAATTTAACGCGGGTTTAGTTTACCGTGGTAATATGTGGTCATACACAAGAATTGATCACCAAGGTAAATTGAGTGGTGAACTACGCACTATTGCGACCCTATTGCCTTGACTATTGCCCGCCGTCGACCATGGCGGGATTTCATGTTCTGTTGAAAATTTAAGTATAATGTAAGCCCAATTTTTTATTCCATTTTACACTACAACACAGCCCGTTTCGAATATCTGTCAGGAAAAGAACAAACCAGCCTAGCATATGTGTGTATATGGAAGCTACACTCCTGAGGGTAGGCTTTAAAATAACTTAGTGCTTACCATTCCATGACTGCTCGGTGAAGCCTCCAAAAATATAATTCTCGCTCTTGACCGCGGTAACATTTGGCCCCTTATTATCGCAATGGGTATGGAAGTTAATGGACTCCCACCCGTCCCTAGAGGCACGATAAATCAGCACAAATTAAAGCTAGACTGACGGAGGTCCAATCGACCTTTGAGACAACTGTTGAGAATGAATTGTTTCTGATCATCTGACATAGTTTTGGCTCCCCAAAACGGCGGAGGATGGAGTTTATCAACAATTCTACGAGTCTGATAGAACTCGGCTTCTTCTAGTATCTCCCTACGGATTAATTTGTCATATGGGACAAGAAGATACCCTGTTCGAAGGTAGTTCAAGATATATCGGAAGTGAGTTCCATCACGATCAATAAAGTAAGATCCGTCTTCAGCGGGCTTTGAATCAAATCTACCAGAAAACATGGCGTGTAGCATCGATCCTTTGTCAGTGTTTGAAGACTCGTGGTGAAATACTGACCACCGACGTTCAGCTTGATGGTTGAAACAAAGTGGATATGATCAAGCTTCTTCGCAACTGACTCGAAAGCTTCTTTCTCCCGGCGCAGATCAAGAGCTTGCTGGTTCATGAGCTCGTGCGCCTTTTTTTTATAAAGTCGACAGCTTCTTCCAGTGCTCCAAAGCTTGCTGCTTCGATCGTTTCTTCTTTGGCAGACATGTTAAAAGTGCAGCACGAGACCGATATCTGCAATCTCCGGCTTTCAAGCGACAGGGATGATCGAAGGATTTTGGGGGTTTGAAATTTTCGATTTCGGAATTGTTTTAGGTGGGAAAATTTTGGCAAGAATTTTTTTGGGTAGCTTGATTTCAGCAGGGATTCTTTTGGGTATTCAGAACAATCTGAAGATTCGTGATAGTTCCCGCGTATCACGACCACGTACTGAGTTAGGCGAATGGTAACCTGCGATCAGGCGATTAAAAAAAAAATTGTAATGTTTTGGTCCAATATCTGATATAATGTAACTCAATTGCCATTCTTCTCCATTTTCAGGACTGTATAAGAAACTAACTCTAAGTCCGAGTAATAGAAGCCCTAAATGCATCGGGAGAGAGGGGGGAAGGGGGGATGAGGACATACAAGCAGGTTAACGTGTAACACAGCCTTTCCCGGGTTTTGCTTAAAAAATTAATGTTGCGTTAAATGAACAATTAGCCAGGAAAGGGCTCTTTCATTTAACGAGTATACTTCCGTAGTCAGCATTGGGAATATATCTAACCGCGTGATAAACCTTTTTTTATTTTTATAAAAAACTCTATTACGCTCATGTCAAGAGACGTGGCGTATCTCTTAGCTCGGCATGTTTGGCTTGTATGTACAAGAATTAGGATTCAGGCGTTTTTTTTTAACCTGAGATCAAGCTCTATTTTTGTTTTGCTAAGGCGAAACGAAAAGAGAGGCCCAATTTTAGCGCGACTACATGAGAGAGAATGTATGAGAACTGCTAAAATTGGGCCAGATCTCAGTTTAGTGAAAATTCCTCTCTCTAAAGCCGCAGTAGAAGCTAGTGGACACTGAAACGGAGAGGAGAAAAATGAGCACAGTTGTAAGGACTTCAGCTGTTTTGGTCAGTGTATCCCCTAAGTTGTTGTCAAAGAGGTAGAAGACGTGTTAGCCGTTTCAGTTTAAATTTACCGTCAAATACGACTCTACTTACTCGGAAATTTGACTTATGCTAGCAAAATAGAATTACAGAGCGAGCTTAGTATTTAACAAAGTTCAGAAAAGAACTATTCAGATGGATTGGTCTGTCCGAAGTTAGGTTGTCTTTTAACATCGATCAATGCAGAATCAGATCATAGTTAACAAGGGATTAAACTTTCATTTGTAGGAGCGGCTTAAAGTGGTGGCCAATTCCATAAAGTTGGTCCCCAGAAAGAAAAAAACAATGAAACTAAGCAAAAGAAAAAAGCAAGCACGAAGTAAACAGTTGACTAGATGTTATTTAATAGCTGAGACCTTCCAAAATCAAGAGTTATTTAACGTGATTCTACTAAGCGTATAATCAAAGTAAACGAAGGGGACCCATACAACTTATCCACTTGAAGAGAAGATACCAAGATGGGACTCAGTGACAGATTTTCCTAAAGAATCACTGTGCCCATATACATGCAAATCACCGCGACAGACAACAGTGCCTGTATTAGGTTTAATTTCACGCCCTGTCAACATGCGATTACATGAGCCCAATATTTAACCCAAATTTTTGTTAAACTCAGGCTTGATTGCGTTTACGGCAGCCCGCTACGCCCCTGCCACTTAATGGAACAAGCAACGTTTTTGTCTCTTGATTTAGTTAATACAATGATGAAACTAAACTTTTATACGGCGAGTTTTTCAGCAAAAAGCAGGAAGGAAATATTGTCAGAGTATTATACTTCAGTGACAAAGCAAAACTTATCTTAGTTGGCTTTAAACACAAAAACTTCCACTTCATTGACAGAAAAATGTCTTTTACCAACAAGGAATGAAGAATTTCCATTGGCCGGACATTGATAAGCATAGCCTATACTGCTGTAGCTATTTCTATTTGCATTTGCCTCAGTGGCAATGCACAGGTCGTGGTTTCCTCCAAACGTTGGCCCATATGAACTTTCACAGTAGATCCCATTCTGGTTGTAATCCCCCGTAAGTGGCATTTTGGTTGGCTCAGAACCATACGGGTTCACAAGGCTGAATAGAAATGATTCTGCACAGTATTTGTAGGAACCAGAACCTGAAAGTACACAACAAAAGCACAGTCACGCAACTCCGTTTCATGTATTGCTTACACGCTATCCATTCAGTTTAAACAAACGGAAACCTTTCTGGGAACTTGTCTGTAAGGACTTGAGCAATAATATAATACATAATGATGTACAGTTGGAAAATTTTTTTATAGTGCGTTTAAACGCACGTGCAGTGATGATTTCTAAAGAGATTACGATGACGGCTACAAAAACGTCAAAAACGCAATTATAGGCGTTTTAGGCGTTTGGATGGGGGGGGGGGGGGGGGGAAAAAGATAAATTAAATTGTTGGTATTTTTATATTTTTTTTTTAGGTTGTGTTAAAGCTCGGCGGGAAGTATATATTAAAAAGAAGTGTAGAGCGGCAAAAAAAAAGACAAAAAATGGATTGGGGGGGTGGTGTGGGGGGGGGGGGGGGGGGGGGGGGGGACTGGGTTAATTTTTGCTGGGTATGTGCCGCTGGCCTGTCATGGAGCCCCTAACCCATTATAGTCTATTCTGTGGCCAATAGGCCACTTCCGAGTTCCAAAAACCCTCAATTTCAAAATGAGGCCAAGTGTACAACCTTTCTTGTGGAAATGAGTTTATTTGCATGAGAATGAAAACTCAATTCCATATCAAAGGATGAGCACTTAACGTTTTGATACAGAGTCCCGGGAAAACTCGGAAATGGCTGATTATAGACCACATCTTACCGTGTGCCACGAAATTTTTGCGGGTTCTAACTTTTGCGATTTTTCCAGTGATCCGCAAAAATAAGTTCCTGCAAATAAAAATTACCGCAAACATTTTCCTGCAAAGATTGACTCCAGAGTAAATATTCTTTAACTCAAATTCGCTACACTGACAAAAATATAGTACTAATTAAGAAATCGTGTCTGTTCAGTTACAACTTTACTCTTTCATTCAGAGACAAAACGGCATACAATGAATTACTGGTTTCACAAAGGGTACGCATACCATAGTATTGTTTGAAAATATGTATTTTTATTGCACGTACTTAACAGAAACGAAAATATTGTCAACGCTAGGAACTGGGTACTTTCTCAAAATCGCAAAAATTAACTCCCAACAAAGTTCCCGCAAAACACAAAAAATCGGCCTATCCGCAAAAATAAACTAGTCACTTTTAGGCAAATGTACTTTTCGCAATCCCAGCTTAATCACTTTCTATTAATTAATGTGTATATACCTTATCAATCCTTTACAGAGGTCATCCTAAAATGAATTGACCCATTTTTTCAATTGAATAAAGAACACTATACTTTCCACCTTCAAAGGTGAGTACAAACATTCTAGTACGTTTGCTAACCGTAAATTATATGAAGAACTTTCTTACCCCCAAAATCTGAAAATGTACGACTCCATTCTAGTAACTCTATTGAAAATGCAACCCCACTATATTCAATCCAGTCGTGAAAATGGGACGCCACCAGCACATCCCCATTAGCCTCTTATAAGGAAGTACCCACCGGGCCCCTACCCCACCCTTTTGCAGTTTTCTTTTGCCCACATCTCAGCCAAGACCACAAAGGCTGATCACACTTACTGAGACTTTTCTTATTCCGGATATAACAAAAACCGAATCTAATGACTGTTTTATTATACACTGTGTTCTATGCGATTATGTGTTTTTTGCCTTACTTTCTACAAAACAGTTTAGCATTGATCGCTCTAGGAAAACATGCATTGCGTGCAACTATAGACAGACCTCTTTAGCTTGAATGTTTTGTTTTCCCAATAGAGGTCCCAGGCGAACTTGACTCTCTTTTTTTCATAAATATGCGTACGAAGAAATTTTGAAAGGAAACGTTCTCTATAGTACTATCACAT